ATATGTTAATATCTATGAGTGCGTATGTTTGGGAGTCTCCTATCCTCCGGTGCCCTCCAAGGGTGATAACACTTAAATACTGTCCCTGCAAAGATCAGGTTTAATCCTTTGCCACTCATTCTTTAAACAGTATTACCGTGTTATACTGTTTTACGTCTTCTCGACCTTCACTGGTCTTCACTGTGTTCAAATTCAAATTCAAATTAGCTTTATTGGCATGAATGTGTAACAACAATATTGCCAAAGCATCATACAAACTACATAAGAAAAATCAACCCCATACATTTCATTAAACAAGTCATTAAAGCGTAAAGTACTCAAAGCATATGTGTGTTTGTGTTATATAATATATAAATATATATATATATATATATTAAAAATTAAATAAAATAAATAATTAAAATGGTAAGCGTGTGTGTATGTGTTAAAAAACTAAATAAAATAAATAAATAAAACAATAAGCGTGTGTGTTTATGTTAAAAAAAAATTTATATATTAAAAATAATATAAATAAATAAAACAGTAAGCATGTGTGTGAGTGTGTGTTTAAAAAAATAAAAATATATTAAAAAAATTAAATAACATAAATAAATGAGGTGTGTGTGTGTGTGTGTGTGTGTGTGTGTGTATTAATAGACAAAAAAATCAATAAATAATTAACTGATTAAAAATAATAATACTAATAAATTTTAAAAAAAGAAATCAGTATCAAATGTAAAAACAAAACAATTACTAAAATATCAAATGATCAAAATAATAATAATTTGAAAATCTGTACAATTATTTATCAGTCTGAGGTTCCACTGGTTGTCCTCACATGTTCTCTGTCTAGTAGAGGCACCTGCATGCTGGATTTATGCTGTGTCCTGCTCAGAGGCACAGGATCATTTCTACGGGTAGAATGTGTTTATATTATTCATTCATTCTGATTGTTGAATTCATTATTGAATAACCCAGAATATGATCATGGTGTATTTTGAACATACATGATGTAACTGAATGACTGAATGGAAATGATTATAAATTATGTAAAAAGTGTTTTTTACTGTTAGACCGACTCTCCTGCTCTATCTGACTTTAATTGTCTCCATGATAAAAGGTAATGGGGAAAATAACAGATTATAAAAACAAATATCTTTCTAATAAAAGAAGAAAATTGTTTGTGGTTTTGTTGTTCGGACCTACAATGAAAACAGATTCTTAAATAGACAGTGAATCAGAAAACAAATCAAATATAAAACTTAGCTGTGATACACTTCTGTCCTTGGTCATCCAGTAATGTTGTGATGTGTCAGATCAGCCCCCTTCCCCGTAAAAGACATAACATAAAAGAGAAAAAAGTGAGGATTTAAGTTGCTTTGCATTAATAATGGTATACTTCAACTTAATGCATTATTTTCACTTTCAGAATCATTGACAGATCAACACAGAAATAACCCAAACAATTCCCTTGATTAAAAACTGACATTTTTGCTCAACAATTCGTTATAGCATTTTTATTTCTGTGACCTTTTAAAAGGATCAAAAAATAACTGTGTTCACAAATTCAAGACATGACTTTAATCACAAATCACAGAATTTTAGAAAACATTTGTTGACAGTAAAGCAAAAAAATTTAACTGCGATCTTAACCTTTTATTTGCTGTTTTTTCTTACATAAATAATGCCAGAGAACAACAGCCTCCTCTACAGAGGGACGCAGAGACGAGGACAGTCTATGTAAAGACGTCATACTAAATAGTGTGTAATATTAATGATTTTTGTATTCATTTGAATGGCCAGGTTGACTTATCTAATAGTTATTACCAACAATTTGCACCATTTCACACAACAGCAGACAGCCAAAGCAGCCACAGCAGCTAGACCAGCGGTTCTCAAGCCTTTTCTCTCGTGCCCCCCCTTTAGAAGTCGAAGTGTTTGTGTTGAAATGACTAGTAGGTACAAAAAGTTGGCTTTAGCTGTCGTCTTCCTGTAACAACTCGCCTCTCACAAGATTTCAGAGTGAGAACTGTCCTTGAGTGAGACTTCAGTTTCCTGTTAAAAACAAAGGGTGTCCCCGCGGTTCCCTCGTCGGGATCCTTCCCATGATGTTGTCAGACACCTGGTAACAGTCTGAGCCTGTCGTTGGCAAAAAGAATATGTTGCAGCCACTGCAGCTAGTTTAGCTGCCGGCTGAAGCATCTCCTGCACGGATTCAAAATCTTTAGTACCTACTAGTCATTTCAACACCAATATGCGTTAAAATAAGGCCCAGGTTATAAATACAGAAATGATCCTCTAACAGAGACTTTAGTCTGTCAGTGTAGGTCATACACTACATATCTGCAGAGTAATGTTAGGCTTTATGATGAAAGGCTTTTATATCATGTCAACACTTCTGTCCCAATATTCTCTTTCTCTCTCCGTCTCCGCTGAATGTCTGCTGCAGGTGAAACATAGTTAAGGCTGCAATAACTGATCTCCAATAAGGAAGCATCAGCTAGTAAAAGATTTCCGTGAAGGCTGCTCTCATGTATCCTCCCTCATGGCTCCTGGCTCATCAGAGATTCCTCCTCTCTCCTCAGAGACAAGTACCACACTAATTTGCCTCCAGGCCTGCTGTTTCCTGTTCAAATCATGGTAACAACTGTTGGTTGAATCATAACGCTCCGGGTATCCAGCAGCAGCCACCACCACTAGTTTGTCCCCCACTGTTATCATCTGATTGCACAATAGGAAAAACCCCAATGATATAGAAATAAAAGAATCATAAAATCAATAAATTTTCCAAAACAAATTTCCCTTCAGTGGCAATAAAAGTACATCTTATCTTTCTTATCTATCAAAATGCAATGCAGCAGCTTTTAGGCATAGTGGCAATGATTTTTTCAATTTGGTGCTCACACTCACACTTTTATACCATCTGTTTTCCCCCAAAAGGCAGGAACCTGACATTTGACTGCTCTCATCTATCTTCATCTTTGTGTAGTTTTATGGATTTAATGTACTTGATTCGGTCGGGATCCCAGACACAATCCTCCTCCAATCCGCTCATCACCATCCCACACCCGGGTGGCACCCAGGCGGTGTCGTAGCCATGGTCATGCCAGGTATTCTGAAGTGGATTTGCCATAATGATCGATCTTTATCACTCTCCCCACATTGACCTCAACCATAATGACGACCTTGTCAGACGCAGGGTGACCAATGGGATAGTGGCTAGCCTTCTGCAGGTCTCTGCTGAGGTAGACGCCGCAGCCGAGCATCCCGCCTGCAGACTGCTGAAAACCTTCGTGCTTGATGGCTTTAGCGGCCTTCCTGGAGGTGCCGTGGTACATTTTATATATTTGACCTCTGCACCCCTGGTGCGGTTGACGATGGATGGATGGATGGATTATTAGTTCTGGATGTTTAGCCTAGCTTAGCACAAAGATTGGAAGACGCAGAGAGAACCTGTCAGCCTGTATGTAGCTCTATCAAAAGTGAAACAAAACATCACATCGCAAAGTTTAACAAGATTCAGCTCTTTTTTTTCAGCCACCATAAGATTGACTTTGATGAGCCCCTGAAATTTGTTTTAGTTATACTATCGGCTCCAACCGTTGACTTATCTGGTAAAAAGTATGGACTGGTATTTGTGTCAGTAGAATCTGAATTTGAATTGCTCAACTTGAGCAACCTTTTAATCAGCATTGTATTGGCATTATATCACTTATACATACAATTTCTTCTTGTATATGTTTATACAAACTTAAGAAGGGTGCCTTTTGTCATGTCATGGCGTTTGGCTTGAATACCCCTGCTGGCTGTTGTGAACAATGTAAGCTTGATCTGCAATCAGTTGAAGGACCTTGAAGTGTCTTTGACCTTGAAACTGTATCTTGTGGACTAAAATTGAAATGGAAGGAGCAAATTTGAATTGAGAGAACTGAAGTGAAAGTACATAAAGTACTACATTTTTAGTGAGGTCCAAATACAGTTTCAGTTGCAACTGAATTCAGTTTCATAATATTATATTCAGTTTTAAGTTTCTTGGAATTCACTGTCAAACTGATAAATTAAATTTCAAATTATGCTATTCAGATTTGTTTTTTCAATACAAGTATTTCAAGTTGAGCAATTCAAATTCAGAATGATTCAAATTCAGATTCTACTGACACAAATATCAGCCCATAGACCATTCCATCAACTATTTGGATTTCCATTACGTTACATTTGATACACACATTTAAATTTCCTTTGGGATAAATTGTAAACACTTTGGTGATCCTCTGACATTGGGCACCACCATCAGGTCAAAAATGTAATTTGGCTAATGCTTTAGGCTAATGACACTCCCATCAGCTTGAGCTGTACTTTATCTTTAGTGCTAACTAGGGCTGCAGCTAACAATGATTTTAGCATTTTAAGCTTCTATAGATTATTTCAACGATTTACTGATGCGTCATTTAAGAAGTACTTTTGCTTGGCAGCAGGCCCAGGCGGAGAACAACAAACCCACGTGTGCACATTTTCAGCTGAGGTCTGCAGCTTACTTTGGCTTCGACTCAACAATCAGTCATGATTTCAGTTAAATGCTAAAGTTGCTGTTACTGTTACCTTGTCTGTGGTCCGCTGGCAGAACACCGGCTGCTTTCTGATAAGGCGCCGTCGTGCTGTTGCCGAGGCGACAAACATTTTGTTTTACGGTGGACGGACGGCAACATTACAGAGTTGTTGTTTTCTTTAGCTTGAAATAATCCCATAATTTGGACACTTTCTTTTTTGTCCCTCGCTGTTTTCTCTCTCTTCCCCCACTTTGCAAACAGGTGCATCATAATCACGTCGTGTTCACTGTGCTGTATAGTTAAATGGATAGTTAAACGGTTAAACGGAGTCTTCTGAAGTGGATGGCTATGATAATCGATCTTTATCACTCTCTTAAACGGAGCATCGATGCAAAGAATTTGTGTCGAAGCATTTTATGAATCGATTTTATCGATTTAAACGATGAATCGTTTCAGCCCTAATGCTATCTAGTGAATGTTTACACATTAGCACATTAACGTGCTAAACAATAATAGAATAGGGTGGGTCCCTAATGGTTAAAATTAGGGCTTATACAGTACCTGCTATGTATTGTTTTAATGTACTTGATGCGATCGGGATCCCAGACACAATCCCCTCCTGAACCGCTCATCACCATTCCACACCCGGGTGGCACCCAGGCGGTGTCGTAGCCATGGTCATGCCAGGTCCTCTGAAGTGGATGGCCATGATAATCGATCTTTATCACTCTCCCCACGTGGACCTCAACCATAATGACGACCTTGTCAAACTCTGGGTGACCGAGGGGATAGCGGCTAGCGTTCTCCGGGTCTGTGCTGAAGTAGACGCCACGGCCGAGCATCCCGCCTGCAGACTGACGAAAACCTTTGTGCTTGATGGCTTTAGCAGCCTTCCTGGTGGTCCCATGGTACATTATATATTTTTGACCTCTGTACTGCCAGCTCAGGTTGGTGTCAGTATCACTGTAGGAAAGAGGATTAGTACTGTTATTATTAGTTCTGGATGTTTAGCCTAGCTTAGCACAAAGACTGGAAGAAGCAGAGAGAACCCGTTAGCTTATATGTAGCTCCATCAAAAGTGAAACAAAACCTCATTGTTAAGTTTAGCTAGGTTCAGCTTTTTTTGACTTTAATGATCCCCTGAAATTTGTTCTAGTCCCACTATCTGCTCAAAATGTTCACTTATCTGGTGAAACGTGTGGGCTGATATTTGTATCAGTAGAATCTGAATTGTTTAACTTGAATAATTGCATTACGAAACTGAATTTGAACAGCATAAGTTTAAATTGTATTGTACTGGCATTCTTTCAATTACAGATAAATCTTTTTCTTGTATATGTTTATACAAACTTGAGAAGAGTGCCTATTGTCATGCTTCACCATGCTGAAAATTGATGGCGTTCAGCTTGAATACCCCTGCTGGTTGTTGTAAAGAATGCAGGCTTGATCTGCACGCAATTGCTCTTCTTGAAGACCTTGAAGTGTCTTTGACCTCAAAACTGTATCTTGTAGATTTAAATTGAAATGAAAGAAGCAAATTTGAATTGAGAGAACTAAAAGTGAAAGTACATAAAGTACTACATTTTTAGTGAGGCCCGAATACAGTTTCAGTTGCAACCGAATTCAGTTTCATAATATTATATTCAGTTTCAAGTTTCTTGGAATTCACTTTCAAACTGATAAATTCAATTTAAAATTATGCTATTCAGATTTAGTTTTTCAATACAATTATTCAAGTTGAGCAATTATTCAGATTCTACTGACACAAATATTATGGCTTGCCGTTACATTACATTTCACACATAAATTTAAATTTCCTTTGGGATGAATTGTAAACACTTTGGTGATCCTCTGACATTCAGCACCACCATCAGGTCAAAAATGTAATTTGGCTAATACTTTAGGCTGATGACACTCCTTTCAGCTTTAGCCGTACTTTATCTTTAGTGCTATCTAGTGAATGTTAGCACATTAGCACATTAACATGCTAAACAATAATAGAACAGGGTGGGTCCCTAATGGTTAACAGGAGGGCTTATACAGTACCTGCTATGTAATGTTTTAATGTACTTGATGCGATCGGGATCCCAGACACAATCCCCTCCTGAACCGCTCATCACCATTCCACACCCGGGTGGCACCCAGGCGGTGTCGTAGCCATGGTCATGCCAGGTCTTCTGAAGTGGATGGCCATGATAATCGATCTTTATCACTCTCCCCACGTGGACCTCAACCATAATGACGACCTTGTCAAACTCTGGGTGACCGAGGGGATAGCGGCTAGCGTTCTCCGGGTCTGTGCTGAAGTAGACGCCGCGGCCGAGCATCCCGCCTGCAGACTGACGAAAACCTTCGTGCTTGATGGCTTTAGCAGCCTCCCTGGTGGTCCCATGGTACATTATATATTTTTGACCTCTGTACTGCCAGCTCATGTTGGTGTCAGTATCACTGTAGGAAAGAGGATTGTTAGTGTAAAGAGTTCAGAAGGACTCTGTTTGAGAGTGAACTCATAAATGGCAACCTATCTGATGAAGATCACTGTGGAATGTTCATTCATCGTAGACATTGTCCACAAATACTGTACAGTGTGTAGCCTAAGAAATCCTTGTCTTATAGATGACTTAGACCACTGAACTGGTCAACTTAGCCATCATCGAAAAATAACCCCCCTGAGAGATTTGACAGGAGCCGCCACTGACCCATTCACATCTGCCTGTCTACCTGTTATCTGTTTGTTGCCAGCCAGCCGGTGTATCTGCCTGCCTGCCTGCCTGCCCGAGAAAATCAGGTCAGCCAAGTCAGTGAACTCTTTTAAGTCCCTTCTTAAAACATACTTTTATAGAAGAGCCTTTTCTGATTTTAGCTGATTTTATTTTATTTTATATATAATTTGTCTTTACTTTAAACATGCATTTTAGTCTCTTAAGTGTTTGCTTGCTTGTATTTGTTTTTATGTGTTTTAATGTGTTTGCACTTGTAAAGATATTATTATTATTATTATTATTATCATTATCTCCCTGTTCTGTCTGCGTTTGGGTCCAACTCCATTGACTTGGCAAGTCTACCTCTTGAAAGTTACCTTATTAAATTGTTTATTGCCCATAATTAATTTTTTTAAAATGTAAGCTAATATTTAACTAATAGCTTAGTTTCTGATAAAAATCAGTTTTGCTGCCGCTTCTTAATGGGATTAAAAACAGTTCCAAAGTGTGATTGTTTAGGCAAACACCATAATTCTGCTTTTATCAGTCAGGAAGATCACAGCTGGATTAGACTCAATACATTTCACAGTATAAGAGCACACTTTGTATCAGACTCACTAAATTCATCTCCTCATATTGATAATATTTTATGTATAAATGCAGACTGTGTATCTTCACCTACCTTTCTCCAGGTTCCTCCAAGACTGCAGGATGTGAGTTCACTCTGCTTTTAAGAAATTTGTGAGGAAGTTTCATAAAGCTCCATCCATCTTTCACTTTCTTTTTTTACTGATAACAATTTGCCAACTGGGAACACCTTTCACTCCTCCTATGTTTGTTCAGGTTTTCATTGTGCTCCTGCTTTTTCACCACATCAAACAACTTGTATGTGAATTATTTTAAACCTACATGTTTCCTGTAAATGTGGCCACTGTGACTCTATGGGTCGTGCTAACTTTGCAATCGCCACCTCCGTTGTAAAGATTTTAAATTATTAGGACACAAATGACAAATGTTTTGTTTTTATCTAGTTGTTTTCGTCTGTCTGTAGACATTTTGCATCTTGTGGTCATTTTGCATACCTTGTGCCAATGCGTCTCTTTGTGTTTGTCACATACACAAGTATACACAGTACAACGTCTAGTGAAATTTGTTCTCTGCATTTAACCCATCCTAAGCATTAGGAGCAGTGGGCAGCGACTGTGCAGCCCAGCTCCAGCTCTAAAGTGCCTCGGTCAAGGCCACTGACAGGAAGATAAACCGGAGGAAATCTATGCAAACACAGGGAGAACACGCCAACTCCACACAGAAAGGCCCTGCACCAGCCGAGATACCAGGAGATACATTTAAGGGGGATTTTTCGGGAGTTGGAAAAGACCTGGGAGAGGGAACTATTTGGGAATATATCTGGAACAATGCAAAAGAAATGATGACAAATTGTTACGCTCACAGACACAAAACAGAACTCACGAGCACAACTCGTAAAAAAATCAGGGGAAACTTGTTTATTCTATAAAGTTTATTCCAGCAACAAGCAAGGGTAATAAAACTGATGGAGGAAGAAAAAGGTATAAAATTAGAATGGTTGAATGGTTGATACAGTTTCCACTCTGTGAGCTTAACTGCTGACACATAAACGTCTTTTGTCTGTTTCTGCTCAGATTCTCTGCTGCATATTTACCAAAAAGGTAAAACAGGAAACGTCATGAGTGATCAGTGATGCAGTTTCTCTATTTTTTGCATCGCAGCTTCCTTCAAGTGCTGTTTAAACTTTATTTAGTGTCTGTGTCGTCTCGCTTTTTAACAGTTAATCACATCTTACTGAGTGCTAGTCATGAGAAACGAATGTGTGCTTCGATGTGGGAGAACTGAGAACTGAGATAGTGATATAATTTTTCACCTTGAGCTGTCTACATAACCAAGTCTTTGTGTTGGGACACTTTGTATTGGCTGAGCAGATCCCACCCGTTACATGACTGTGTTGTTTTCCTCTCGGTTTTTACTGCAAGGACGTGACATTCCTGAAGGACAGAGACAATCAAAAGCCTTCATTTTACTCTCTTCTGTGAGCACAGCTACAACATGTTGCCGAAAGATACAGTCTTGGTATAAAAACACCATAGATCATGACTTTTTGTTATTACTGCTTACTTTTTACTGTTAAATGTTTAATAGTGTTACTGTTAAAACCACTAGACCTATAGGGACTCTAGTGATTGTTGTCTGTGACATGCTATTACACATTTATTACATCAATAAATTAATTCATATTATATTTTTGTCTCCCAAACTTCCTCCTTGGTCTTTGGAGGTCACCCACCGTGTTGTGCTAAAGAGCTGCAAGTGCTGATTTTCTTTGCACACCTGTCAAATTATTTTTTTATTATTATAGTTTTCTGATACCTTTAACCTGCTGCTTGAAACTGAAAAATATGCCTTTCAAACGTTTTACTTATCTTTCACGGCAGCCTAGGCAGCTCCAGCAGAAGCTTGATGGCAACAAGACAAGTAACAAACATAGGAACTTGAATCATCTGGGAGGAAATGAATGAAACCGGTAAATTAACTGAAAGAGGACAGAGGGAATGAGGTGCAGGTGAGGAGGTGGACCGGCAAAAATAAATCAAAAGGTATTTCAAGATATCAAATACCCAAATTTTTGTTTTTCAAAAACTACTTTTCCAAGGTGCCAGGACATGACTTCATTTACCGTCTATCCATCGGCCTGTTTGATCTGTCCCTTCACCAGAACGCTGACTCAGCTGATTGTTGAGTCATGCGATAAATCTGACATGTGAAACCAGTTACCAGATCAAATATTGATCTCATATCCCTGTTATCAGCCAGATGAAGGTTAGTTATATTAACCAACATTTTAATATTTAACAGTTTGCTCAACTCTGAACTGCTTTATTATTTTCATCCAACAAACCATTCAGCATATGGCTACTGACAAACACCAGAATTTAACAGGACCTTTTAAGAATGGTAGCAATTTATGCAAAAAAAAAAAAAAAAAAAAATTGGACGGGCAGCGATGGAAACCTGCACGTTTCTCACCTTGGCCTTTTTCTTCTGGTCTGGATCAACTTTTCTGTTCTGATCTCAACAGGTCTGGGCAAGTTCCTGAGTAGGCAGCGTTTTTTTAATGATCAACACGTAGACTTCTCACAAAGTATTTTACAGTATTTTTAAACTATAAAATAAATGCGTTCCTACCCTCACCTGTGGTCATGAAGGCTGGGTAAAGACTAGAACTAGATCGCTGGTACAAGCCGCCAAAATGGGGTTTTCTCAGGTGGGTGGCTGGTGGCTCAGTCATCCGTGAGGAACTTGGCGTTGAAACGAGCCAGTTGAGGTGGTTCAGGCATCTGGTAAAGATGCTGCCAAGGTGAGGTGTTCCAGGCACGTCCATGAAGCCTCGAAGACGACCCCGGACTAGGTAGATATATTATATCCATCTCCACACTGGGGAACGTCTCAGGATCCCCTTGTCAGAGCTGGTTAATATGGCTCAGGAAAGGGAGGTTTAAGTGCCCCCGGCTGGAGCTGCTGCTGCCCACAATGTAAGTATAAGTAAAGTAAAAACAATGTAAGTATTTTGACATTTTCATCGACCCTATCAAATACAAAATCCTATTTTTTTTTCCAAATCTGTATTTTAAGTACATGGAACATAAATATGGTCAATCCCTGGGAAGTGTGGGGCAGTTTGGTGAAGGGAAAGTCCGAAGGTGCCTGGTGGATGAATAGAGAATGGTAATGAACAGGACTGTGATGATATCTAAAATAAAATTGCTTTGACACAAGAAGTCCCCCCCGGGGATCAATAAAGTATTTCTGATTGGTGTCTCAAAGCTTTGCAAAATTTGGGCGGACGAACGCAAGACCTCTGGCGTCATTATCTGAGATCACATAAGATCTAACTGCCATAAATGAGAAGATGACAAACAGCCAGTTTATATTTTATTTTTTTTACATCAGGCACGGAGACAGGAATACAGAAATTAGTAAAGGCAAAAAGGCTTAGAGCTAGATGTTAAGGCTTAACCGACGGTACACGGCTTAACAATCCAGCAAGGAACGGATGTCTGGTTTCTCCTTAAGTAGTGGTGGGGGTGGCTGATCAGGACCAGGTGTGTGATTACCAGCAGGTGCGGCTAGTTCCAACCCAGGAAGTCAGGACTCAAAAACTGAGGCGAGGGGGGAAAAATAGACCAAATGAAAACACACCAGAGCATGTCTCACTCACCCAAAGAGAAAAAAACTAATGAAAACACACTCACTCAGTCTCAAACTCAGGTGTCAGATGCAAGAGTCATGACAACAAATGTCATTTTTAAGTGAATTTCTTTCAGTAAACAGAAAGAACAAAACACACAGAAGGTCTTTAACATAGTAACATGAAGATAGCTACATTTTTAATACTAGAACATATATACTTAAAAAGTTACTAAGCTGCACATTCTGGAGCTCTGCCGGTGCGGCTGTGAATTTCCTACGCGGTTCCGACGCCTCATGAAGGTGCTATATGTCACTTCCTGTGTCCCCTATGTGGCGCTACATAGCACTTGCCACTATGAATATAAATCGGTATTGGTGTGTAGATGTCTGCGGGGTGGGAGAGTTAACAAGCACGTAAAGTTTGTTTCAGATGTGAGCATGTACACTGAACAATAATGTACCCAAACAATAAAATAAATCCTTTTATATTTCCCTGCCTTGTTGTTTATGTGTAGATACAGAGGAAGAATGTGAGAACAGCACACATTTCATCGTTACTGTGTGTTAGAGCATGGGAGAACAGTGGATACTTTTAATACAGCCCACACCCCTAATACTGTGTAACTATAACAAGTAGAGAACAGAAGAAAAAGATGTTCTTTCTTTACAACTGTCTGCATAGCTTATTCATATTGTGTAATGAATGAAAATAAATAGGCCTACTAGGCTCCTCTCTACTTTGACATTTAAGATTAGCTGTTTGATCCACCTTCATACACATGTGACATTACTGTACAACTTGAGAAAGGTGAGTTGTTTTCTGCTCCAGCCTGCCTAAAAGAAAAGCGTTTTTGGGATTAAATGGACTTTATTAGCTGCTGAAGTGCAGGAAGAACTCAGAATAGACCCATTTCTCACCTTATTATTCTAAATCATGCAACGAAGAAGAAGAAATGCATAATAAATCCTGGGACAAATCTGTCCACAAATACTGTACAGCATGTAGTCTGATGATCAAGACTTGTGTTATAGCTGACTTGGGCAGTGAAATGTTTAATTTTTTAATTCATGTGGTCATAGTTGTCCACAACTCAAATCAGAATATAAGAAGAAATGTTTTATACCACCTCAAGAAGGCTTCCTATCAGAAAGGTAGGAAGGTATTTCAAATGTACAACTGCAGTACTAAGTAAAGTAATTTCCCTGACATTTTTGTGTTACTTTACTTTTAATAGACGCATGTAAAGGTTTTATACTTCCTGTGAGTATAATCCAATCAATCTTATTTTCATACTGTATATCCGTGTGTAATTTGATAAATTGTGTTGTATGTCGTGCTCGCATCTCAGAGAAGACTCTGACTGCAACATGCGTCTTTGTAAAGAGAGAAACGGACAGAAAAAGTCTCTAACTCTGCCTGTCAGCTCGCTCTGCTCCGTTAAAACTGAATTTACCATACAGAATTGAATACGAGTGCACTCCAGATTTAGCTGCAGCCAGCTGACCGTGTGCTTCTCCCTATACCGCAGTTCTGTGTCCATGCATGCAGCAAACTGAAAGCACTGTCTGTCGGAGCGTCTACGTGAAAAGAGAAGGAAGACATGGCTGGTAGTATTGTCTTCAGAGTTGTTAAACACCTCAGCGCACTGAAGGAAGCCATCTGACTGTGTGAGGGGCAAGATCGTTGATGTCTGCAGGCAGAGTAGGAGCTCTCCTGTCTGACTGGTCCACCAATAGCAGAGAAGATGACCCCTTGAGTTATCAAGCACGTAAAGTTTGGTTCAGATGTGAGCATGTACACTGAAGTTACAACAACTTCCTGTGTCATGGCGAAGACTTGATCTCTGACGCCACGCCACGGACACGCCCACTGACGAAAACTCGCAAATAGCACAACTTTTCATCTTCAATGCCTTTAGAAGGCACAGCACAAATTTGAAGTCGGTCGGACTAAATCCCTAGGAGGAGTTCGTTAAAGTACGAAGTGTGTAAATCATCCAAAAATGGCCGTAAAATTCAAAATGGCCGACTTCCTGTTGACTTTAGGGTATGGGTTCTTGAGGCTTTTTTGTGCGTCTTGACATGAGTGAAAATCTAAGCGTATGCAGTGGATAACAAATTAGAAATGCTGCCCCACTTCTACAGTACTGATTAAAAAATGGCACTTTGTTTTACAGATAATGTGATCTGTGAGCTCTAAACTGTCTCCAGATCAGTTTTTGGGAACGAACAGTGTTTTACAAATGTCGGTGGGATGACTGATGAAAATGCAGTGGGTTACCATAAGAGACTGTGGTCAGACTGATCTGGAGATATTCTGCATTTTTCTATTTGTCGAAAAATACCTTGAAACAAAAAACTCAAAACCAGTGAACGTTTCTCCTAACAGGTCGTGTGTGTGTATCACACCCTGGTGTCTGTTTTTTGCTCAGTTGTTGTCCAGAAACTATTAAAACCCATCAGTGAGCCTCACTGCTGCACTGGGTCACGTGTTCCTTCATCACCATGAACACAAACACTGTAGTTTATTCTGACTCAGCCCCACACACGCCGTCCTGCTGCCCCTAACACTCTACATGTGGATTCATCCGCCGCTGAAAATAGTCCCCAACTATTTCCTCCTGTTTGTTTGATAGAAACTACTGCGAGCAGAATTACTGAGCCTTTTAAAACGGGAAACTATTTATCTTTGAGGTGTTTTTATAGATTTACGTCTTCAGGAAGGAGAGACGGACTAACATGCTTTTGGTTTTGGTCTTTTAATGGCATTTGGTGGCAGTCAAAACAATGCAGACCATTGCAGGCTGTGTACAAATTTTCAGTTAGTGTGAAGCACAGCCATGTCTGTAACAGCTTTAGATTCCCGCAAAAGGGATGGTGATAAATAAAACCCTGGGATTTACCAAGAGAGCAGCAAAATATGGCACCTTCGAAATCCTGTCTGCTTGGAGGAGATGCTGCTGCAACCTGCTACATCCAAACCCCTGAAGACAAGCAGACTCATTTAAAGCCGAACTGATCAATACGTTTATTTTTTAATAATGGATCAACAGAGAATTTTCACCAAACTCTGCAGTTCCTCTGAGCCATAAGGAGAGTTTCTGAGTCTTTAGGTCGTTGTTTTTTGTTGTACAGCACAGTTACTGTTTTGGTTCGCTATTATCACCGTTGTGACCGACCTGCCCGGCAGCAAACTACAGCCAGACACAGTTAGAGACTAGCTGGGGAGCATAGTGGAGCAGTTACTGCTTATTATTAGGGCTTGACCTGAAAATTCGACCGTTGGGTACAGATTCGATTTTCAATTTTGATATTCGATTATTGAGGTTTTTTTCCTCCGCCGACCGCACTGAACGTAACGCTCCAGTTCATATCAAAGGGAAAACAAAATAAAGCCCTCATCTGTGTGGGAGCACTTTAAACTGAGTGATGACAGCAGCAGTGCGGCAGTTATGGCGTTTATTCATTTCATTACAGATCAAAACAGTCAAATTTCCTACATTTTAAAATTAATCAGTAAACTGTAGGCTGGAAACAAACAATACAATTTAATACTTATATTAGGCCGATTGTAATAAGAGAATTTTGTCGCCATAATAAAATTTAAAAGTGAATTTTGCATTATAACGTGTTACCGCTACCACAACTACTGCTCATCCCGGCTAAACTATTCGATTATTCACTTGTAATAATAACATTCGGGCCAGCCCTACTTATAATTACATATTACTCCATACAGTATACTCCATCACGTCCTTGACTTTCTCTTCAGGCTGGTTATTTAACAGTTAGAGTTAGTAAGGGCCTTTGCTCATTGGGCTTCTCTATTTTGGAATAAACTCCCTCTGCAAATCTAGAAAGAAAGCTCTGTTAAGATTTTTAATCTAATTTTACAACCATGTTTTTATCTGTGCTGCGGTGCAGTTGTATTACTACAAAAACTTGTATTAAACTTCTCAGCTGTGTGTGTATATATTCTGTAAGTGAGGACAGTCGTGTGTCTGACAGTAGTTAAATGTAACTCAAGTACTTTAGTACAATTTGGAGATACTTGCATTTTACTTGAGTATTTTGATTATATGCTACTTTATACTTCTACTCCACTACAGCTCGGATGGAAATGTACTTTTCACTGCACTACATTTATTCGACAGCTTTAGTTACGTTAAATAAACTAATAAACGTTGTTTCCTTACAGTTTCCCAGCTCTAACATTAAAGTGTATAATTTGATGTTAATAATTATGAAATGCAGGGCTGTATTTATACACTGTGGTAAAATATCTGAATACTTCCTCCGCCGCTGATTTCTGATGATTCATATTTTTACCTGTGAGAGACTCTGCAGGCGAAGTGCAGTTTAAATAAACTAAAGATGAAGTGAGACAATGAATATTGGACTTAACGCTCATCGGAAGGACACGAACTTATGTCTGCTGATGTGTTAACAGGCAGCTAATTACTAATTACTCACTTAACAATGTGACAATATATTGGGGTAATTGTTTGCTCTGCTGCCCCCAAGTGGCCAAAAATCAATGATTACAGCTTTAAACCTGCATTATTTTTATTCTTCAACTTGGCAGCAGTGAACTGCAGAGTCAGGCGAGTGACGCCTCTCATATTAGACACAGAAATCCCATCTGTTAATACAAAAGAAATTATTACGGCGTATGTTTGCAGCCAATGATGCATTAAACGTCAGGATGAATTTGAAGCTCCGACAAGTGGAAAAAGGTGATATAAGCACATTAAACTTGAAAAACGTTTTATTTACACTCCGCTACATTTACACAACAGTCACTTCTCAGTCGTGTGGCTCTTCATATGAAGTCTCACGTACGTCTTTCGGTGGAAGCCTTTCCCGCAGACCTCACAGCGGTGTGGTTTCTCTCCCGTGTGCGTGCTGCTGTGCTGTTTCAGGGTGGAGTGGTCGCTGAAACACCTGCCGCAGATGTTGCACAGATAGGGTTTCTCCCCCGTGTGGGTCCTGATGTGCCGCATCATGTTGTGGCGGCAGTTGAAGGATTTCCCGCACTCGCTGCAGAGGAACGGCTTCTCCCCCGTGTGGATCCGCATGTGCATCTCCAGGTTCCCCTGACTGTCAAAACACTTTCCGCACACTTCGCACACCTTCCCGTTTTTGTGAGTTTTCAGGTGAAGTTTTAAGTTCTCCTGCGAGTCAAAATGCGTCCCGCAAACG